CACACACACACACACACACACACACACACACACACACACACACACACCCCAACAAGAACAACAACAACTTTCAATTCCTATAACTCATTTACTACTGAATATCTGGGCTTTTTTTTTCTTAAATAACAAACACAAATCCAAATAAAATAAAACATTTCCATCACAAAATCCTATGTGACATTTTTCAGTATTTCCATTTAAAAAAACTAAGAATAAAATCTATTTAATTTCACATGTCAATCTATTTCCTTCTCTCTACATAAAAACAAAGGCGAAAGTTTCTCTTACAAGGCACACCATCGAGATCATCATCAAGTGATTTTATGGGGACTCCATCAAGATCATCAATGGGAGTGGCATCAATAGGAATTCCATCTACATCTTCCAAAGGTGCACCATCAAGTTCTTCCTCAATGGGAGCCCCATCAAGATCATCTGGTACTTCCTACAGAAATACACACACATATTAAAGTCCCCCTGTATTTCTTACCAGCCGCTGCTTTGGCATTTACAACATCTTTCACAAGATTATTAACAAGTTAGTACAATCCTACTGAGACATGATGCCAATTATCACATTTAAGAGAGATCTGTGGTTTATATTTCACTAGAATACAAACTCCTACAGGGTTAAGTACCCATTTTCATATCTCCGGGATAAGTACAGTGCTATGCACATAGCAGACAACTAAAAAATATCTGCTGAATCAAATGATAAAGAGCACATATGAATTAAGATTTTGTCTACTGACAAAGTGAAAAGAAAAAGAAATGGCATGATAAACTTTTTTGTACATAACTTTAAAACTGAATTGGCAGCTTTTTTTTCCAATGAAAATGAAAAGAAAATTATAGATGGTCCCATTAAAACATGGGTTGGGTTTGTTTTGCTCAATTAAAGTCATTATGAAGCTGTTCAAAACACTAAATTCATCAGTTTAACTATGCACAGCTTTGATTATTATAGCCACGTGTGCATTCACACAAAACTGTCAAATATACTTTTTTCTTCTCATTATCAAAAATAGCAAACTATTAATTTTCCAAGGAAACAAATTTGACTGATAAATAAGTCTATCAATACTAAATAATAAATCAATAATTCAACAAATATTTATGATTGGCAACAAGCAACACAAAAATAGCTGTAGCAGTAAGCTATGATTTAATATCATTTTTAAATCCGAGGCTAACCCAACCAAAAACAACTGAATTCTTTTCATTCTTCAAGGATCAACTAAGCTTTCCCTTCCCTGACTCTATACAGCAGGAAAAGATCACTCACTCCTCCGAACTACTTCTGATTTGTACCAGTCATTTGGTATGTATGGAATAAATTAAAACACTTTCTTTTCACATGCCTATGTTTCATGTCTATATTGTAAACTTTCACATGTTTATATTGTAAACTTCTCAAAAGTAAGCCCCACATTTTATGCTCATTACATGTCAACAACTAGCAGAGTACCTCATACATAAGGCACTCAAATACTTGATGTAGAAATTTTTTTCAATCTTTGTATTTCTAACCTCAGCACCTAGAACAGTGCCTAGAACCTTAATAATATTAATTATTAATTAGGTCAATGTCAATTTATTAATATTAATTTATATTCAAGATTTCAAATTATTAGCTACTTTTAATCATTTCAAAAAGTTCTAATATCAATGCTGCCACTAGAGGTGCTCCAAGGTTGTTTCCAGGGCTAAAATTACAATTGTGAAGTTGTAAGTACTCTCTTTACACAAATAAAAATAAGTACATCTTAAAATAATCCTTCTGTGGAAGAGATTTCTTTCAAATAAGACAAAGTAAAAACTAACCCGTCCCCATCTACTTGATCAGGCTTAATCCCCCTTTAGTAGGCCAAACAAAACTAAAATTAAGGGCCAGAGAGTATTAGGAAAACATGCTGAGCTCCAAGAAGTTATTTGGGGTGAGGAGGAGGCTATTCTGGAGATGACTAGGAGATGGGGGCGGCCTACTCTCTTCTTTCAGATAAAGCAGGGTTAACTGCACTGCTTCTCTGCTGCCTTATGCCATAGGGTGAAGGGATACAAATTACCCTATGGCTTGTTCATCCATTAACTTCTTGTCTGCACTGTTTAATTCTAGCTCTGTCACTTTCTCCTAGTCAAGTCAGTCTCTTCCTCCTGCTTCTATGTTTACTGCCTCAGCAAGCACTTTCACACCAGAGAAGTTGTAAAATCTTTTTGAAATGAACTTTGTGAAAACATCATCACAATTATCAATTCAAGACATCTAAGACACACATACACATGTAACTTCAAAGAAGCCATGAGGAAATAGTATGAATTAAAGGAAGTCTATTTTGAAAATGTCTTGTGTTTTAACATTATTACTTAATAACCTTCCTTTTGTTAACCTCTACTGTGTTTTATTGCATTGCAAGTTATCCTATTCCCCAACAAGCGGCAACACCTACCTCTGTTTCTTTTTCTTCAATGATATTTACAAGTCCCAAAAATATATTTTGTAATTTGATCAAAAATGGTTCTGGATAAATTGCCCAGTCTTCCCACGCTCTGAAGCAGGTCATTACTCGTTGCTTAAAAAAATAAAAACAAAAGGAAACCATTAGTCATCTACCAAGAAAGTTAAAAAGTAAAGCTGGTACAGTTAAATTGCAGCCTAAGTCTCTTAAAACCCAATCAAAAAATGTAATGTGTCCTGTCCACCCTCCTCCAGATTCTAAATTCCCAGATTCTTTAGCTCTGAATGTCAATGATTTGGATCAGAGATAATGGACTGTTGAAAAACAAATGAAAAGATAACAAAGAATTCATTATTTAAAAAAATTAAAGTAACCAAAAATATTTAGAACTACAATAAATTAGGTATAAAGTCATTTGAAGCCCCTCAAGAATTATTAGGATGCCTTTATTAACTTTAAAGGTAACTCATAAAGTGGGATATTCCCTAAGAATAAGGCCATTTAATTTCAGTAGTGTCTAATGAAGTGAAGTCTCAAAAGGAGAGGAGTCTGGCAGAGTTACCCACATTAAGACTCACTTCACTAAAAGTAGAAATGTATGATAAATCCTATCAATATGAGCTCTCCTGAGATCATCTCTAAGGTGGCAGATCCCCAGGCATCTCCCTTCAACAACCAAATTTTCTTAAAGATGTTAGTTTCCATGAAGCATTAAAAACTATCTTGTATTGCTTTTCCTTAAAGCTGTCATGTGTAAGTGATAGACACAATGTATCATTATCACTAACAGCTTTACAGCACTTTTAAGGTTTCCAAGGGACTTTACATATGTTAACTTTGACTTAAGGTAGGTGTTAATATTATCCCCATGTTCCACATAAGTGATTTGCCTGTGGTTAGACAAGTTAATAAATGTCTAGAGGCAGGATGTGAACCAGGTTTTCCTTATCCCTTGTCCCTTTCACTCCACTGCCACCTAACCCAAAGATATAAAATGTATTTCTTTTACATGATAACTGGCTGATTCAATTCTGTATCTCTACCCTTATACCACCCACTGTGCTACAGTGACAAATTTTACAGAATTAAAAGAAGCAAAATTTTAAAAGTCAGCCATTTGGTATATGTCCTTACAAAGTAAGTGGTCTTGGGGACAGCTAAGTGGCACAGCAGACAGAGCACCGGCCTTGGAGTCAGAAGGACCTGAGTTCAAATGAGGCCTCAGACACTTGAAACTTACTAGCTGCGTGACCCTGGGCAAGTAAGTTACTTAACCCTGATTGCCTCACCAAAAAGCAAAAACAAAAACAGAAAGAAAGAAAGTGGTCTTAATAAGCTTTTTAACAAATATCTGGGATGTAGTAGTATAGGATATAGTTTATTTTTTTTACTTAAGATAATTAGGCCAAAAAATAAACATTTAAGAACAATTAGACAAAGTTAGCCCATTCTTTTTTTTTTTTTTTTTTTTTTGGCTAAGGCAATTGGGCCTAAGTGACTTGCTCAGAGTCACACAGCTAGGAAATATTATATGTCTGAAGCCAGATGTGAACTCAGGTCCTCCTGACTCCAGGGCCGGTGCTCTGCCACCTAGCTGCCCCCCTCAATGTATTTTTAATTAATATTTTGACACCAAAAATGTCATAATGCTAAAAACAAAGATATCATGAAATGTTCAGATTTTCAAGGTTCTATCAAAATAGCTGGGACTTTTAAAAAATACATATACAACAAGATACAAAATTTATACACATACCTTGAAGTTTTCAGATTGTAGGTGACCTTGAATTGTACGGTAGGTGGCATTGAGGTCTGAAAATATCTGACATAACTTTGTTTCAAAGCTGTAATTCAAATAATATTATTTTAAAACTCTAACAGAAATTGTCATAAAATACAATCATTTCTCCATCCTTGTCAATGAGTACTCAACCCTATTCTTAAATGCTTAAAAACCAAGAATTATTTACTAAATTATACAATCAACAATTGTGCAATTTTAAAAGACCGGCAGTATTTTGAATTTCTGCCAAAGTGTCATCTCCTTAGAATTATATTTTAATTTATGAAGCCCTTTCACAGACATTACTTCTTTGATTCCCACAACTCAAGTCACTGGATTCAGTGAAGCTTGGTCTCCCAGAGCACAATTGTGGACAAGACTATAAACAATTCTTTATTGTTCCCATTTTACAAATAAGGAAACTGAGGCTCAGAGAGTTTAAATTATCAGCTAAAAGTCACACAGCTCAGAAAGTAGGAAATTCAGAACTAGGACACAAATTTTCTGATTTCTAATTCAATGTTCCTTCCACTATACCACAAAATCTTAGAAGTATATCTTAATTCTTTAATTAATGAAACAGTGAATTAAAATCAGTAATTAACACTGCCTTCAGTCCCAAGGGAGCAATGTTCCTAGACTACATGAAAAGAAAATCAATGGCCTAAATTTTTAAAGTAGTTTTTAAAAAACAGAAAAGTTTTATTTTCATAAGAGAAATAGGAAAATGTTTCTAAAATCTGCCTATATGATTTAGTGGGAAAGGAAGACCAAAAGAGTGGGAAATAGAAAGAACAGAGGATTTGGGGCCAGAAGAATCCTAGGCAGTCCACTCTGGGTCTGAGGTTTACTGATGAGTAAAATCAAGTGGTTGGACTAGAAGATCAGCTACAGCTTCAAATCCTATCAAATATCCACCAATATAAATAAGTGGAAGCCACAAAAACAAAATCTAAAAGACTTATTTAATTGTAACTTATTTTAATCTACAACTGTCGTATAAATCTTAGAAGTTGAAAAGCCTGACTGACCAGTAAGTATTTCGACCAATTAAATACAGAGCAAGTGCCAGAGCAATGGTATTTTTCAAAATAATGCCCTAAGTGTTTCCAATTCCCTATTTATGAAACATTATGAAATTTAAATGATTTCCAGAATGGGGGTGGAGTTAAATATTTTTGGTTATTTAAAATATACCTTTTGTAAAGCTCAAATTAAATTAAGTTCATATCTTTTATTTTAAAATTACAGGTATAAAATATTATACTTACAATTTTCTATAATATGAAGCATTGGCAACTTTTGCTGAAGAGTTATACAATACATCAGAAACCAAATATAATCTGGCAATCTGTAACATAAAATAAAAACGATATACAATTATGACCACAAAGCCAACAACAAATCTGTAACAGGACATGTCACACCAAACAGTGATAAGGAATAACAGGGATAATTATGCTTACTTTCAAGTAACTTGTCATCAATATAAAAACATGCTCACTACGATAATTTCTTTAGCAGAAATGTAAATTATGTTTCAATTTCATTGCACATGGTTTTCCAATCTAACATATAAAAGATAAAAACTGCCTGCTCATAATTTATGTATGGAAAACATAAAATGGTTTTCTTAGGAAAAATAAATTCACAGAACAAAATATAACTTATTCAATCACAAAATACTTTGTGTAATAAAGAGCTAAAAAGAATTGAGATCTGACATAAGGTCATTTCTATCTCACTACCTATTTAAAAACTCAAGGAAAATGTCTACATACCTTTTTAGGCAGGGGTGTTTTCAAGATGGACAATGATTCAGTAATACAATCCACTATTTCTTCAGCAGCTTCAGCATTATTAAGACAGAAAACCATTGCATCACCAATATCATTTTTCCGAGGAGTTAATCCACGTAAGATTTCTTCTAATTTATCTCTCTGCCTAAAATAAATTTTTTTGCAAATTGTAAATACTTTGTGTTCCACAGAAGTGCAAGATTCTTGTGGGAAGGGGCTATTTTTTTCTTTTCTTTGTATCCCCAGCACTTAGCACAGTGCCTAGCACATAAAAGGTGCTTAATAAATGACTGTTTACTTGACTCCAAATGCCAAAAACTTTCATATAACTTAATCTAACTTGCAAGCATTAAAAAGTCACTTAGAGGGAAAGCGAAGTGGCACAGTGCCACCTTGAAGTCAGGAGGACCTGAGTTCAAATGTGACCTCAGATACTTGACACTTACTAGTTTGTTACCTTGGGCAAGTCACTTAACCCCCACTGCCTCACCAAAAAGCCAAAAAAAAAAAAAAAAAAAGTCACTTAGATGGCATCACCACATATTTCATCACCTAATAAATATTTTAACACCTCCAATATACAAGTTTTAGTAAAAATGTGAAGAATGATACTACCTGATACATGTATTTCCTAGATAAAAACAACAGTCATTATTGCTAAAGTAAAAAATAATTTACTAACCCTCTTGAAAACTAGCTCCCTCCCAGAATCCCCACTCCAAGGTACCAGAGAAGCATGGACAGGAGTCAGTTTTCTATCTTTTCTTTCCTTCCTATGTATGATCAACATTATTTGTGTCTCGTTTCAATGCTCCCTTTGGCATGACTAAAGCAGGCAAACCAATGGGAGATAAGAAGTACATCTGAATAAGCAAACACGCCCAATAAAAAACTGATTCACCAATACCAAGCCCAGAGTTACATACAGATTAAGCAATAAAGAATAGCCCCCCTTTTTCCATTGGTTGGCAGATCTCCCTGGATGTCTAATCATCAGCAGTAAGGCCTTGGGGCACATTATCTCACCTCTGAGTTTCAATGTCCTCCCCTGTAAAATAAGAGGGATAGCCTATCTTTTAGCTTTAAAATCCTACGATCCCAAGTAGCCACAAGGGCCACCCTCCATTTCTCAAAACAAAGACTTGGCAGAAATTTTTAGTAGACCATTTCTTGCTCATCCCTATCAAAGCAACTCCTCCTAATCCTGCAGGTCTTATAGAAGACAGAAAAAGTTTCTAACAAGCAATCAGAACTTGGACATGAACCTGAAGTGGGAATGCAAAAGAAAAGTCCAAGGACTTAAAGCCTGACAAGTGATAGCATGACTAAAGGCTTACAGAAAATTGTGAAAATTGCTTGTTCCCCCAACTAAGATCCTTTGGTGCCCCCTTGCATAAAAGGCATTTTCTAACTGATAAAGAACAGGTCAGACTGGGCTGATACAACAAGGGAGAAAAAAGAATGACAGCAAAAGCTTTATGGCCACTCTGCCAAGAAGCTTGGTTCTTGGAGGAAAGGGAAAGGGCAAAGACACCACAAAATGTGCTGTTAGTTGCCTTATGCCTTAAAATGCCTGTGTGATAAAGAGGGCAGACTACTTCCCAGTTGGCTGGGTCTCACAGACAGAGAGGCTTTGACTAGTACTGAAAGAACACAGGACTATACAGTCTATGACTGGAAGGGAAGGATCACAGGTCAATCTTGTCCAACCCTTTCATTTTACAAGGTTAGGAAGTTGAGTGATTTGCCCAGGCACAATGGCAAATAATGGAAGAGGTGAGACTTGAACTCCCAATTCAGCCTTGTCCACTCTGCCTCCTGTGCATCAGCTGCTGCTCTGAGGAAGTAGCCAGTGCAGAAGCAAAGCCAACTGGGCACAGCTACACTTTCTAATGTGGTCATGATCAATTCCAGAAAATCCTGGACTCAGAGTCTGGTGCAAGGCCTCAGTTGCTGTGATGTTCTCAGCCACAGCGATGACCAGTTAAATTGCATTAAGAACATGAACTTAGTAAGACAATGAAGTACAGAAGACAGTGCACTGGATCTGAAGTCAGATAACCTGAACTCAAGTCTTGACTCTAGCACTGGCTAGGGCTGTGACTAGTTTCAAGCCACATTCTCTCCCGGGTCTCAATTTCCTAATATATAAAATAAGGGGCTTATGCTAACTAGATGGTTCCTCAGGTCCTCTCCACCTCTATATCCATGATCTGACAAATGTATCAGTGCAGAATCCCTTGTTCAAAGGCTAAAATATAATCCATCAATTCTTTTCTGGAATGCATATTCTGCCTTGTATTAATTACTTAGGGCAGTGACCTACATCTTAATCGACATCTTTGTTATAAGCCACATAGTTTTAGATATAGAAGAGACCTGAAGTCATTTGGTATAATTCTTTTTTTTTTTTTTAAAGATAAGGTAACTTCTTGAAGATTTAATGATCCATACCATAGATCTGTACTACATAGTGGCAGAACTGGGATTTAAACCCAGAACTTCTGACTCTTAAACCAACACTCATTCCATGGAACCATGTTGCATTCAACTAAAAAATGTATTGAATTGAAGAACATTCATCACAGAAGCAATAGAGGCCAATGGCAAACATTACTTAGTTGAGTAGAGGAATAGAGGTGAATGGGTAGTTTTCGTTGCCCTTTCCTGGAACCTCAAATTAAAACACCACAATTTTAAGATATTAATATTCTTGGTTGGGGGCAAAACTGTTCCAAGACTGAAAAGAAGGGGGAGAAGCTTACTCTTCTTTAAGTGCTCCTTTCTTGCTAGGTTCCTCAACAAAAGCTTCAGTTTCCTGCTCTTCTGACATCCCATGCAGGTATGGATTTAATGGTGGTGGCCTCCAAAAAGATCCATTTTTGAACATACGAAAATCTTCTGTTCTCCACTTAGTTGGAGCATCTCCCTAAAAAACACCAAAATATAGGACGATTAGGTCTAACTTTACATATAGTCAAAACTAAAGCGGAAGTAGGTTCTACTTGCCTGTAGAATTGAATAAAGCTTCCATCTATAGTAAACATGGGCTGGAGTCTGGTTTTCAAATAAAAACCTAAAAAAAAAAAACAAACACAGTTTAAATTTTCAACTGAATGATCTGACTATTCTTCCCAAATAAATGTATGTACAAGTCAGAGACATTGTATTGTAAAGATGCCATGAATAAGACCTGACACTGAAGGCCAAAGAGGTAATTTTTTCCCCTCTAACCTGATCTCATTATCTTACAAAACAGTCATCATATACATAAATGCATTCTTCATGGAGGAATAAATTTTAATTTAGCCATACCAATCACCATATTCTCAAACATTCATTCTAAACTAATTCTAATGAATCAAATCAAGCTATTGAAAGCATCTCTCCAATAAGTCATATCTTACCTGGTGACTGTTACTATTTACATGTAATCTTTAAAAATGTATTATATGGAAATCAAACTGTTAAAGGACCACGGACTAGAAGCTAGGAGAGTTCCGAGGGGTCATCTAATTCTACCCCCTCATATTACAGATGAGGGAACTAAGGACCAGAGATGTTACTTAACTTGCCTAAGGCCACACAGGTAGTAAGAATGGGGACTTACACCCAGGTGCTGGAACTCACAGTCAACATTCTTTCAAGTGAACTACACTGTCTTACAGTAATACCTTGCCATTTTTCTTTTCCTCTCAAGTCCATTTCAAGACACTGTAGAGGGGATTCACTATTGTGCTCCCTCCTTTTAATAAACATGTCAGAGGTATTTATCTTATCATAACTCATTACTTACAAAGACTTTACTCTGAGTTCAAGGTTCTTCACCCGGGGTACGTGAATTGTTTTTATTTTGTTAAGTGTTATTTCAGCATAATTGGTTTCTCTGGTAATCCTATGTATTTTATTTTGCACATCTGCAGACATTCAGAGGTATATAAGCCTCCCCTGAACACCAGATGGGTTGAGGACACAGTGAAAGTCAAGAAGCCCTGCTTTGAGTCAAAACAACAGCCATGTGATGGAGACTCTTAGGTTTTATCATTTAGTTGTGACATAATGAAGCTGCTTAACTCACTCATCTGTACCAAACACAAAAATAGCAAATATATCCTATTCTCCTATCTACTGAAATCTCCCTTTTTCTATTTTAAAAATACACTTTTGAAACTTAAATTTCAACGATTAAACAATGAAGGACAATATATGCAATATAGGTAGCATACACCCACCTGAACATTGGATTGTTGATTTCTCTATTCATAATCATGGCTTCAAACATTGGTCCTTCACGTACAACAAACTCTATCATTCGATGTATCAGTGCGAGCAAATTCCTATAACAACAACACAGTTAAAGAAAAATGGATTCAGACCTACCACTATATAAAACTATACTTCACCTAAGTTACTTTAATTGTGCAGGAAACGATTATTTTGCTGACTAATACAGAATTTTATACCAGGTAAAAATAATTTGGAGCAAATGTTAATGCTGTGCATTATGGGGAGAAGGGAAGGGCATGGTAAGGGGAGGGAAGGGAAACCACAACACACCCTGATAATATTAAAGAGTAAATTTTCTGACATGTCACTCCTAATTTTCAAAACTTAACTCAAAAGGTTACTATGAATCAGGGACTAAAAAGGAGGAGTACTGATCATGTATAAAAATTGGAAACTGAAAACTTACAGGTTATCTTACTAATTTTGCAAGAAAGTATTACTAAACTAATATCAGATAATGCAAAAAGCAAATGAGTTAACTTTTGTAGATACTATCATATATGGGTACAATTTACTAAAAATTGAAAATTACCAGGTAAATAAGTGTATGGCCAGATTTAATAAAAAGTCCATCTAATTTCCATGCTACAGAAATTTAAAAAAAAACAAAACAAAACATGTTTATGAGCTCTACAGACCATTGTAGAACTGGGCTTACACTTTTCTGGTTCATACAAACAAGATGGAATTTTTATTGAATATGACCTTTAAAGAGGCAACATCCCTTTGGTCAACAATACAAATAATATACATTTGTGAAATAAATGGAAAATTCTCCACTTTGTAGATTAGAGGCTTCCAGCTTCAAAATAGTTTATGGGTAATAAAGTCTTAGATGAAGGCTATTCCCCACTCCACTCAAAATACTGCTAAAAGGAGAAAAATATAAAGAGCTTTTCCCAGGTTACATAACTTTAATGTTGCAGTATTTGGGCTAAATTTCAAAGTATTATAGCAGTCTCTTTGCCTCTAAGTCTGTCAGCCAAATTTGAAGAAGAATTTTAAGAATCTGACAAACGGGTCCTAAAATTGTCAGATACATTTCAAATTACATTGGAGATTTTTAAAAAAGTAACAGAATGTAAAGTTAGGTAAAATGAACTCAGCTGTCTCCTGATCAAAGCATTAACAAATACAAATTGGGAAAAGCAAAAGGATATTGGCTCTTGGCAAACTGCACAGACATAATTTATTTACCCTATTAGCACTGCCAGAACATGTTCTCATATCTGCTACAACATATATTTTTAAATGTATGGTTATTTTAGAAAATATCGATTTATATGGCTTTATATCATTACCCTGCTTCAGAGTACATAACTGAATCACCAAGAGATAAAATTTTATTGCTTAATTTCTCACATTTCTCAAACAAACCTACTTAACTGGACACTAAAATATCTACAAAAGTGAAAAAATTATTTTAAGACTAAAAGGAAAAAATTTCTAATCTATAAAAGATTTAAAACTAGGAAAAGGGTTGACTACCTAGATTTTTAACTTACTACAATGTTTTGGCTTTCACAATTAAAACAAATGACCCAAAGCATCCCTTAGGTTGATAACCTAGGCTAGAAGTTATTTTTCTACACAGAAGTATTTATTTCTTTACAAGAACAAGAACCCTGCAAGAACATGTAGTTCTAAGTTCAAGTACTGAGAATATTCTCCATATTCACATAGTTTGTGGTATTCTTTTGGGCAGGGGTAGTAGAAGGAAATGATAATGAAATTATAATTCCACTTTTAAGGTCCTGCTAATGTCAGCCATCTTAAATATATGGGAAATATGATTCCCACCATCAAATGTTCAAATGTAGTCTACACATCCAGAAAACTCATGTAGATTAAATTAAAAAAAAAACTTTTTAAGATAAACACTGGCAAATCCAGTATCCTAAGTGGACACTACTTTATTTATTTTAAACTAGGGGTTTATACTAATATTGAGTCTTGAGACTTTTTCACCAAAACTATACTCGACCAATTAGATTTTTTAAAAAGAAATAAACTAAGCCATACACAAAGATACTCCTCTCCGTAAGCTTTTTGAAATACTACAAAAAGCAGAAAGACCTCTCTTTGAATGCTAAATAACATGAAAAACTATAATTTCAAATAGGCTTGCAACTTTGATAAATAACTAAACATTCATGATCAAAAATTTAAATTGCTTTCAATAATTTAAGTAATATGACTTAAAAAAAAAAACACCCTAAATCTGACAATTAGCTCCTTCTGGCACTAGCCTAAATTTTTGCTTATTAAAACAATTTTACTCAAACTCCTTGCCCTAAAAGTTGTGTTTTAAAAAAACTGCTGTTCTTATTATTTTTAAAAAAGGGACTGTTTTACAATAGAATGAAAACAGTGTAGTACAAAAAGATGATAGTTTAAAGTGCATTATTTAAAAATGTCAATTATCTTACTCTGGGCAACAAAAAAATAAAAATGTCTCTCAGTAATAATAAAACCACATTTATTGGAGTCGATCGTACCAATGTCTGGTCAAAAACTGTATACTTTCCCAATCCATCCCATGATGTTTTCCTGGTCCCCCGCTGCCGCAGACAGTTCAGCTGGTGTTGCTCACCAAGGCCAATGTCAAAGAGAATTTGGTATTCTTTTGTGTTCATTTATTATCCAACCAGTGTTGTGTAACTGTGTTTGGGAAAAGGCTTAGCTTGACTGAGCAAGAGCATACCTAGAAAAACACCTCTGCTTTTAAACACTATCTTTATAAAGAGAAAAGGGGGAAATAAAGAAAAACAAAGAAACTCAACTATCTTCACAGTGAAGAATTGCTTCCCCTGTGCAGTGTTCAAGTATATGAGATTTTTTTAAAAATCATTTAAAGATCTACAAAATAAATCTATTAACTCTACCAAGCTCTTCTCAACCAAGATTGCACATTAAATGCGTATAATTCAGAGAATTACAGAAAGTTATAGCACACGAGGCAGAAACATAACACAATCTAAAGCATCCACAGTATGCAAAAAGCCCATTAAAGATTTAGTCTCCATACCATTTGGCCATCATTTTCAAATGAAAATAACCACATCCTACTCTACAAAAATTATAGTTCTGTATATTATACTAAAAGGGAAGAAAAGTAGTGACATAAAATTGAAAAGTATAAATTATGAATTAGTAAAATTCCCAATTCCCCCCATAAGTAAGAGGAAAGAACCATTGCTCAGTCAAGCCATTACCTTTTCCTCAACACCATTTTTTTAATTCAGAAGGGGATATTTTCTATATTTAGATCAGTAATAATAAAGAAAAACATGTACCTTTCTGTTGGGATAACCACTTTGACTATGGCTTGCGACAGAGTCTGTATATGAAGTCACATCAGATAATAAACATAGAATATGTGAGTATTGTTAACAAGTAACAAGCAAAAATATACATATGCATTGAAAATACTACACATCTAATCATAAGTTTTGCAGGCAATCACTGCTGTGAAGTTATATACTAAGCAATTACATATATGCAAATGGATGTGTTCAGTGAACCATGAATGTTCACTAAATGCCAAGAATCAGAACATTCCTGCTAGAATGCACATCAATGCCCGGAATCGGTACTACACTGAGAAGTCTAAGATAAGGATTTTAATTTGTGAAATCATTAACTGTTTGCCTTGAACCGTACAAGTTTACTACTTTGTTCCCAAGCCTTTAAAACCAGCCCTGTCATTTTAAGTGTAATTCATTAAAGAACCAACAAATTCTTATAACTGTAAATTAAGTTGGTTTTATGTTTATAAAAAAAGTAAAGAATACTCACCCTTCAGTATGTTTTTACTATAGTTAGTTGCTTTAACAAACCACACATACCCTAAAAATATTCTGACACCTAGTTGGTCCTTAAATATTACGTCAGCTAGTTGCCATCTAAACAAATCAACTATTTAGGAGGTCATTCTAATTGAAAACTAAGCCAACTGATTACAAAGTAGAAGTTTCTTAAAACAAAATAAATTTAAATACTGCAAAACTAGCACCTAAATAATAAACCTGAAACAATAGGGAATAAGGACGGAGAAAAAATAACTGAAAATTGGAAAAGTATAACTAGATTTAAAGGAGTGACAGTAACAAAAGTATGGCCTAATATTCCTGAGGCCTCATTTCAATACTGGGGTTTCATGGGCTAAGGCAGGGAACAGACTATATGTATCTTTAAGGGTTACCAAACAGATAAGCACACACAATTCTATAAAATTGTAGAAAAGAAAAACTACCATAAGATTTAGTATTTACAAATTAGATGCGGCCCTATGTACATTTTTAAAATTACCTTCTCAAAATCCTCCTTGCTTTTAGGTGGAGGTAACATTGGAGCATTGGGGTTCTTTAATCTCTCTCTAGGCTGAGCATTGAAAGGTAGGCCGGATGGTGGGGGAGGAAGAGTGTGTTCCATCATAGAAGGTGGAATGTATATTGGATGTGGTGGAATAGGTACAGCTTTGCCCCACCCTAGTTTCATTTCAAAGGACATGATCATCTTTCCTACAATAAAGAAAAAGTTACTTCACTAAACATTCGGCTTATAAACATAACCAAATATTTTAAATTGCATTTGGATTTTTTTCAAGTTTATTTTTAAATTTCAAAACTACATTTCAAACAGTGAAAAGGTTCTAAGGCTTCTGGACAGATTAGTGCTACTTACCATTTAGATTTTTCAAAGCTCTCTCAGCATCTCTTCTATTCATAAAGGCCACAAAACCACAATTCCTTTCTCTTGCTCTTTCCTCATCTGTTCTTGGCCACATAATTTTGACACTGGCTAATGGTCCAAACCTCCCAAATTCCTGGCATAACATTTCTTCATTCATCTAAAAAAGATAAACATATTGATTAGAGAAATGCAAATCAAAACAACTCTGAGGTACCACATCATACCTATCAGATTGGCTAACATGACAAAACAGGAAAACAATGATGTGGGAAAATTGGAACAACAATGCATCACTGGTGGAGTTGTGAAATGATCCAACCATTCTGGAGAGCAATTTGGAACCATGCCCAAAGGGCTATGAAACTGTGCATGCTCTTTGACCCAGCAATACCACTTCTAGGTCGGCATCCCAAAGAGATCATAAAAATCGGAAAAATACAAAAATATTTATCGCAGCTCTTTTTGTGGTGGCAAAGAATTGGAAATTGAGGGGATGCCTATCAATTGGGGAATGGCTGAACAAGTGGTGCTATTGTGCTATAAGAAATGATGAGCAGGTAGACTTCAGGAAAACCTGGTAAGACATATGAACTGATGCTGAGTGAAATGAGCAGAACCAGGAGAACATACATACTGTTATATATATGTATGTGACATACTGTACATAGTAACAGCCACACTGCACGATGACTGACTGATAGACTTGGCTCCTTTCAGCAATGCGAGGGTCTAAGACAACTCTAAAAGACTCATGATGGAAAATGCTATCCACATCCAGAGAAAGAACTTTAGAGTCTGAATGAAGATGGAAGCATACTATTTGCTTTCCTTTTCTTTTGTTGTTGTGTTTTGTTTCTTTTCTCTTGTGGTTCCTCCCATTAGTTCTAATTCTTTATATCATGATTAATGTGAAAATATGTTTAATATGAATGTATAAGTAGAGCCTATATCAGACTGCACGCACTCCTGGGGAGGGGGGAGAGGGAGAAAATTTAAAACTCAAAATCTTTATGGAAGTGAATGTTGAAAACTAAAAAGAAATAAATTATTAAAAATAATAAAAAATTAAAAAGATGAACATACATTTTTATTCAAATAAAAACTCATTAGTTCACACTTATGAATTTTTAAAATAGAATTTGTAATTTGCTTCAAATGAGCTAAATTCTGTTACAAGGAACCTTCAAGGGGCACTGAAACAATTTCATTATGAAGGAATTTTGTTAGTGAACTATTAAAAATCATATTCTCAATCTGTAAGATCACAATATAGTTATTGCACAGTCCAACTCTGACTTAATGGGGAAAAAGTTAACAGCATCTACAAAATAAAGGCAAGAAAGAAAACCCAAAGCATGCTATTTTTTGCTCATGTTTATTTATTCCTTCATCCCTACCTACTTTCCTCCTTTCAAACTTCTGGAGGAGGAAGTTACTTTATTGTAGAAGATGCCTTAGGAATTAAAGCTATATTTTTATGGTAGAGCTATTTAAGGTGAAGAGAACAGAAGGATACTTAGAAAGGGGACCTTAGAAAAACCTCATTTTTTTTCTTTTCATACTTAACTCTTTAATATGGACATCAACAGAGAAAAGGAAAGTGACAAGCACACTATAAGAGGCAAATTTACAAACTATCCCTCATTCCTTCTCTAAAACTCAAAAGTAAGGGTCAAGTCATATGATAGAGCTAGTTGGACAAGACAGAACAATCAGCCAAATAACCTGCTAACAAGTTTAGTCATAGTGGAGTTCAGTCATAATGTTATATTGATATCACTGTGAAATAATCTTAAGATACAGAATGTAGCTGCAGTGTTTCCAATTCCAAATTAATCATCTGCTTATTAGAGCAATATTTAATACAATAAATGAATATGGGCACCCTTGGAATTTGCTATTAAATTATTTACTGACATTCATTCAATTAAGTGTTACAGACAAGATGAAAGATCTTCCTATAGTGTTCGTTATAGAAAGTTGCATAGACAGAAGAAAACATGCTACAGTGGATTACTTCGTGAGACTCAAAGAATAAATCACTATTACTAGAGGGTATAGGCAATGACTTGTAAAATATCTTTTCTGTTTAATAATAGAGCTAAAAAAAAGTTCTTCAAACAAACATCAATGAAAATCTATTAGAAAAGTTGTTGTTGCTTATCCTTCCTTTTCAAAGAGGACCGATGATATCACTACGCCCATATTAAAAACTGATTTGTCTCACTATTTGAAGGGCATTATGGATTTTTACAGGGTCATCTGATAATTACAAACTCTTTAAGCACGTATTTCAATGATACTCTACAGTATGGAAGTTAACTGCCTCAAAGTTTATCAATCTACTTTTTAAGACTGTTTTCTTTCAAAAAGAAATATGAAGTAATATTCCACTTAGATCTATATTATTACCTGTGGATTAATGTTTCCAAGGTATAAATTTGTAGTACTTGGATCCCCCACATCATGCGAGCCAGGCGCATAGTCATCAAGGACTAGAACAAAAAAGAAAAAGGATTGTAACTCTCAGAATAAAAACACTGTTCAGAATTTGTACCATGTTAAAGAGCAAGAAACTGTATTACCACCAGATGATCTATTTCTTCGGGAAGGCGCGTCCACTAAAAATTTAAAAAAAAAAAGCGAAATAAGACATCCTTACCTTTAACTGCATTATTTTATCAAAGACGCTTATTAAAATAAATTTTACTTACTGGAACGACGCTGACCATCTGAATCTGACTGAGGGGGTTCAAAACGACTTAGCCTGCCTTTTGTTTTATGTCTTTCATCACGCTCTTCTTGAATTCTGTTGAAAATATTTTAAATCACTAGCAATGAGTCAAAAAATATGATCCTAGTGATTATGAGTAAAAAAAATTATTCACCTACTATATTCAAATAAGGTGATTTTTATTACTTTCATGTTGGCAGTCTTATTAATTTTAGGAACAAAAGAACTTGATTACGAACTATAGCTGCCATACAAGATAATTGAGTCCTTTAGTTATGTACAAAGGCAACTTATGCCCATTATACTACTAATGTCAAGCCTGAAACAGAAGAAATTATTTTTAAAGCATGGTGAGGAAATTAAACGTTACAACTATCGAGAATGTATTGAGTCCTCTTCTATTTTTTTTCCTTAAGAGGAATACATTTTTCCACTGCAAACAGGACTCCGGCCATTAGGTAAAGCATTTTAATTTAACCCACATATGTGAAATTACCAAGAGGCATGACTGTGAATTTTATTATAAGTTCATTTTCAAACCCTGCCCCACAAAAACATAATCATAAATCTTAAAAGAAAAAAAATCCTAATGACAGAATATCTGGTAATAACTAATAGGTATACTGTGTGGGTCTTTTCTTGTATTCTCAAGCACCTATTCAATATACCTATGATAGTTATTCTCCACACTGTAAAACTTACTGTTTTAGTTCTTCTTTGAAGAGTTCCAAATTGCTCTTTTTCTTTTCTTTCTCCCCTTTCTTCAGTGGCTATGAAGGATATGACAGGTTATGCTTCAGAAAATGGAAGGTTTAACAAAACGAATGGTTCAATAATCACACCATTTCTAAACCATATTTACCTCTTGGCCACTGATTTCTTTAATGTCACTCACTAATGAGATGATGCTGGTAAAAATAAAGCTTATCATACTGTCAAATATCTTGTATGTAAAAAAACCAATTTTGGCACTATTCTTAAAATAATGGGGTAAAAGAAAAAATTTAGCCCAATACACCTGAAGTATTATTTTAAGAAACATACCAAAACTCACACATCTAAATAAGTATTGTGATCCAAAGCAGTCATTTTGGAAGATTATACACTTATCCAAAAGATATTGCTTAATATATTTTTGCATCACCTCTTAGAATTGCCTTCAAAGCCAGGTTAGAAGGTAAAAAAAAAAGTACCTAAATATAAGAACAAAAATCAATCTCATTACTTTATCCTAATTATCTTCTTCTTGGTCAAAAATAATACATTTATACCATGTTTGATCATTCCATTTATTCGCTGGACTTGGCTCCAGGTGACTTTTGGCTATTTCCAACACTCAATCCACCCTCAAAAAGATAAAGAAATGCTACTAATGCATATATTCAAAAGAATGTGTCACAGGCTCTGAAGAATATCCCATATGAGGAATCCCAAAAACATTATGAACAATGAGAACTATTAGAATAAGTGTATTATTTCCCCTAATTTGACTTTAAAGGGCACAATGCTCATTTATATGTAAAACATCTGGTATGTTTGTTTAAAATATAGTCCATAACTTGTGGGTATATCTTAAGCTGCAACCAAGTATTCTTAACGTATACTAACTGAAGCCCCAACTACTGGGTTAGTATCAAATGTGTGAACATTAAGAAAAACGCAAATTCTTATGCCAAACCACTATACTTAGAGGAAGCAGAAGTAGAAACTGTTCACTGCTTAAAGCCTGTCACTGGTCATATGCCACGTACTAATATATATTATAATATTCTGAATGTGAATGCTACTGGGTTAGAAAACGCCAAAACTCACCACCTCCAAAAAAATACCAAAGTCCTGCTTACAGTGGAAGTACAGAAAGTTGTCTCAGCAAGGTCATCCACAGAGACATGAAAGGTCAGTGATTCTGAGTATGACTTACAGGTTTTTTGGTTTCTATCACAAGAAGGGATGGTGGTCTTTCATTGGAGGACTGATTTGGTGCATTCTTTTGATCTGCAAATCGTGAGGATGGCTTGTAGATTTTGCCTCGTTTTTCATCTGTTTCATGTTCTTCTATAATTTAAGAAATTGGGATAATGCTTACTATATAGTAAGTTTCAAACCCGTTTTTCAATCAACAAGCATTTGTTAAATACCAACTACATGCCAAGCACTGCACCAAGTGCTAGATATGAATTTTATTGGGCTGAGAGGACAAAAAAGGGAATTAGGCACACCTACCAAAAGCCAACAAAACTTGTTAAACAATTCCAGATATATACATATATGTATGTACGTGTATATACACACACACACACAGAGCGCTTCAGTGACAGATGGCTGGGGATTTGGGAGGGAGTGGAGAGATGGGGATGGAGGAGATGATACAAAGATGAGCAAGACAGTCCCTGCCTTCAAGGAATTTGCAATCTAGTAAGAAGAATAAGAGATATAAACATTAACTATAACACAAAGATAAAGACGAAAGTGAACCAGAGATACCAAAAAAGTACTTTACCCCCCCCCCCAAAGAAAGGATCACATCTGACTAGTGTCGAAGAGGAAGTAAAATAAGGAAAGCACATGAAGTTTGAAGTTTAGTAAAAAAAAGAATTTGAAGTTTAGTAAAAAAAAGAATTTCAATTGCAGAGCTTTGCAAGCTGATGGACAAGAGCAGTAAAGCACTGAACATGTTTTGGAAATACCAAATAAACCAGTATAGCTACAGTACTGAGTTCTTGAAGGGAAACAGTGTGAGGTAAGGACTAAAAGGTAGAAATCAGACTGTTTTGGGTCTTGAATGCCAACCTTAAAGAGCCCAGACTTTGCCAGTTTAACTACCTTAAATCTCTCTATTACATATTTACAAAGAATTTCTGAAATGTTCAAACCAAAAGGTACTAAAATAATAAGTGAATCATGAGGCTGTTTCCTTTTCTTACTGTCTCTACTTTGACCATTTCCTTTCTATTATTAGCATATCCACTAAAGGGTAAAAGGAAAATTCTAATTAGTCCATATTCTTCATTTGTTACCTCTCCCAAAAAAATAGAAGGGAAAACTGAAATTCATGTATGAGTGAAGGCTGGAGATTATTTATGGATTTCAATGACCCCTTTTCAAAACTGCAAAAAATGATGTAAAGTAAGCAGGATCATACCATGTGTTCCTTTCAATTTCATACCTTGAGATAAATCTGAAATTACTGCTAATCCATTAATTTAAAACAATATACATGGGAAAGCTAAAATAAAAGTTATGGATTTCATCTCTAAAATGAGACTATACTACCTGTGAAGGAAGTATTTTGTAAACTATAAATGTACTTTCACTAATGTCCTCTTCTGATTTCTTTTCATGGCATTGACATGACCCTCAGTCCTTGAAAGTTATAAACACAAGCTTTGCTAAGTTATAGCAAACTTAAAAGGCTTTATATAAAGATATTCAAGGTTGGATTGTGTTTTTCATCAGACAACCAACCCAGAGAAGTTAGAGGAGGCTCATGAGCAATGAATGAATTTTTTTCAGCCACCTCAGCTTATTAAGATTATTTATTAAGGCATGGAGGGATTGTGATCTGAAAATCACGAGGGAAACCCCAACTCTATTAAGGACTGAAGCATATAAGTTGTCCCTTACTGTTATAGGCTTTAGACATGTACATCCAAGGTCATTCTAGCGCTAACATTTTATGCTTTTAACCCTCAAAAAAATTATATGTATTAAACAGAGAACTCTGAGATTTAATACAAAGTCAAAATATAATACTATTAATTTTTTTTTATTTTTAAGTAAAAGGCAATGTGGCTAGAAAGCTAGGCTTGGAGTCAGGAACTTAGGCCCAAGTTCCACCCTGGGCACATACTTATGATAAGGCATATATCCTTCTCAGTGCCCCTGGGCAACTGGAAAAACTTCGACACGCTTTAATTCTGAGCTACCTAATCAAAATGTACTATGACTGTTAAATGACCACAGCTATCATATTCATACTTACCTTTAGCAGCGTTAACCACACCACCTCTCACAAACGTTTTCACTTTATTACCATCACTGCCTTCAAAAGCAGCCAGGAACTCTTCGTAAATCTCAGCAGCTGCCTTCTCATCCTCCTAAATAAGCAAATTTGACAATTTAGTGTGTAACTAACATTTTAGCATGTGGCTTCCTTACTGTAGATCCCAGTAAGTCATCCAGGTATATACTCGCAGCTGAAATCTTCAATATAATGCAAAATAATGATTTCTACCCATCAACAGCTGCGTACTCAGTTACAGAAGTTACTAACTAGGCAAATTTAATCCTTGGGAGTAAAAGCATGCTTTCAATTACCAATGTAAACTGTTTTTCTATACCAAATAAAATCTATTTTTTCAGCATGCCCCAACTTCAGAACTTGACCTCACCACCCTTACAAGTATCACAGTCACAAAAGAAAGAGAGCACAAATTACCTTCTTCTTCAGTTCTTCTTGCTCTTTCTTGCTCAAAGTCCTTTTAGCTGCGCTCATCTTCCCAATGCTAAAAGCTTTGAGCTTGTTTTCCAGAAGTGGCTATGCAAAGAAAAACAAGCTTAAATGTTTATGTAAACAATTATTAAAATACCTTTTTTCAGAACCAATGTCTAAGTTCCAAAGAAGGTTCCAAGCAAGTTAGGCCTCCCTCAAAGACAACGTCCTCTGTGCAAGGAAGAGGACCAATAGACAGACACAACATGCAATGCTTCCTTCTGGTCCTTCCCTCCACCAGCCAAAAGCCAGAGGGAACAAGAGGACACTCAGAGAGATGAAACAGGAGGGACAGAGGAAAGACAAAGAGGAATGGTGACCTTATAAACAGGAGGAAATGAAAATAAAATTTCAACTTTAAAACCTTTCCTACATCAATGTTTCAAATATTACAAAATAGGTTCTTCATTTTAAATCATCAATTTGAAATTCTAGAGAGTGAACAGTAGGCAGGGCACCCTCACCTCACCTCTTATACTCTTAGACCTAAAAGAATTCTATAATGAAATTTTATGATATGGTTAAAAAGAAATATGAGAACACACACACACACACACACAAAATCCCTTAGCACAGGTGAGGGATCCACAAGTGCTGTACATTACAGATGTATTCAGTACATTTTTCAATGTACTGCTCAGTTATGCTGATTTTTTCTCTCTTTTTTTTGTATTTTAAAAAACAGGATTTGCTCTGTGGGATGGCTGAGAGTATGATGTGAAAAAATTTATCAATAAAAATTTTAAATTGTTTTTAAATTATAATTTGAAAATACTGAAATCTCTTTCATAACTACTTAAGATAAACTTTCCATTTAAAACACCATATATCATAAAGTGACTAAATAAACCACATAGCTTCTTAAAGTCAGAATCATTTAAAGCCATATCATTTTTATATCTGGATGAAATATTCAGTTACAGGGAATCAAAATACTTATCAGTAATACAAATTTGTTTACTAAGCACTGTCTCTGCAATCATTTCCTTATCAGTAAAAAAAAGTTAACCAATTATTCTAGTGACTTGATATGTGAGTACCTAACATTATCATAAATCATCTTGGAAATACTTTAATGGGTAATATTATCTGTATATTCAAAAACATGCAAAACTATCTAAATGATGTCCTTCATAAAAGATTAATCCTAGTAAAAGAACAAGATACTCTGCAGTCAGTCACTATTCCTGGTTAGAAAATATTTTTTAAAAATTTAAATTTAGATATGAAATTCCATTTTCATTTCTTGAAAAGAGAAAAAAAGATCTTTTTACTAATATATACTGTGACACCACAAAAATAAAATTTTAAAGTTAACTAGAACTTCCTATCAAGACTGCATGCATCAAGTGTTATCTTCACCACCACTGGTAAAATTCTGCATCACATATGTCAATTATATGCCACTTCACTTTATTTTCTCTTAAACTCCATTTTGTTCCATTTGTCTCCCTGGCTCATTTGAATATACTCATCCTGTTCTTGACTTTCAGTCTTTTCTAAAGCAGTGCATATCTTTTCCTAATTCTCTCACCAGAAATGTACCTTCATGTCATAGCATGAAAGGGACCTCATCAGTCATTTAATAGCTGAGGAAACTGAGGCCCAAGGAGATTCAGTGATTAACTCAAGGTCACACAAGTCTTAAACATTCAAGGCAGATGAAGTTGAAGAGCCCAGTCCTCCAACTTTCCATTATACCACTTGCCAAGTCTTGATTGAATCATTTCTTCTTAAGTCAAGGGCAGGAAGCTCAGAGGGGACCAGCTCACATGCCATCACTCCCAGCATACAGAATCCCCACCCCCCCCACCTCTAAAACAAAACGTATTGCCTGCCTTGTTAAGAAGGCTTCCCTGGACAAACCCATCAGCAAAAGCCTAGTGTAGGGCAACTCAGAGGGCAAACCTAAGCATGAGGAAAAATGAATAGCAGAGAGCAGAAGAGCCAGTCAGGCAACTGCCATTCCACACAGAGTTTCATTCCTCTGGATCTTGAAGGTCTTTCTTTTTTAAAATGTAAGTAACCAAAGGAAAAGGATGAACACTGACACTGTGATCATCCTAATGATTAGTTTATACCTTCCAAGTACTAGGTGACCTTTAGGTGAAAGCAAAAAGTAAGACAAGATGGGGTGAAAGAGGTGGGTTAACGGGTACTGACAGAAAAAGTCAAATGGGAGTGAAGATAAATTTTGTGGAGAAAGTCCTGGACTTGAAATTCTTAAACCTGATTTTGAATCAAAGTTCTATCTTTCACTAATGGCAAGATTATAGAGCAATCAAATCACCACTCCAAGCCTCAATCTTCTCATTTGTAAAATAGGGACAATGTTTTTGTTGTGATACACTGACAGATGTGCAGTACAATAAGGGACCCTCACTGAACGCCTTTCCACTTACCCTCTGCTGACAGTCTTTGAAAACCTGGAACCTGTCATCAAGAGGCAGGCCCAGCAAAGATACTCAAAAATCAACTTTCAAACCACCTCTGGGACATATTCCACAGGCTGTTATCCCCTGGATTTATATATTTTAAAAAATATCATTCTCAAGTCGTCCCAGCTTAATCACAGGAGAATTTATTGCTTTCCTGTTACTTGATCTAAACAGACATGGAGAAGAAACTCCCCCAAAATATATTTGCTTCTTATCCCCAATTACACTTACCCTAGAATAGCGAGTATGCTATTTATAATGTGACTGGTCTTTTATTGTAGTTATACCTTCCTATCTTAGACTGTAACTTCTAAAGAAAGAAACAGATCTAGGTAGTTGCGGGGAGGGGTTTGTTTTTATTTTTGCATGAAACTTTCTGATACAGAACTACACACAAGGTGATAGCTTACACCCAATCAAAAATGACTTCAAAATTATTTTGAAAGAGCCTTGAAAGCATACTGACATATCAGTTTAAGAGGCCAACCACAAGTAAAGTTGGTTTTTCGACACATGTTCTGTAAGTTCATTAGATCATGAAGAAAAGGAGGGAAGAATTCTTTTCTGTTTTCTTTAAGGGTAAGGAATAGCCCCTAAACTATCTGTATAGGTAAAAGTTTGTTAATATTTATGTTTCAAATAACTCAAAATTTTATCCTTAACATTTTACCAGAAATTAAAATTGAAAAGCTCCAGTAACAAGTTAATGTAAGCAAAAAATTATTCTTTTCACAACAGGATACATTAATGAAAACTAGAACCACACATTTTTAAACAAAACAAGACTGAGATACAAGTGTGAAATTTAATAGTTGAACAGCATGAAGAATTTAAAGTGAAAATCAATTCTAAAACAAAGAGCAAATGTTACACTCCTAAGTTATTTTCTTCTAACTCACCCTTGACAGATTTTGATGGGGAGAATCACAAAGGTTCTCACGGGAACTTTCTGTCCTATAATTGTGCTTCCTTGGGCTCTTAGGTCGTGTTCGACTTGGCATATCTGTATCTGAGGGTCCAGCTGCATCCATCTTCAGAAAAAAAAAAATCAAAAGAAATCATATCTGAAGATTATATAGTCCTAGGCCCTTGAGAATATCTTTCTTTAAAAATTAGACATGATAAAAGCATAAATCAGTAGGCTTTATAAGCAGATTAAAAGTGGCTCATTTGAGAAAGACTGTCTATTGACAGTCCTTTCTGTTTGTCCCTTCCTTATTGCTTTTACAGAAAGAAGATTGGACATGATTAGATTTCACAACCTATACACACTAAAAGAGGAGAAACTTTTCCATGCAAAAAAAAAAAAAGTCATAAGTTAAGAATTTTAAAAGTAAAAATAAACATTTTATGGACTAGGATTGGTTTCCCAAAATTCACATCATCTAATATTCATCTCATGACACTTCCTTGTTTTCACTTAATGTCCATGCCTTTTATAGATCAGACACGTGGGTCAGCGGTTCTACCAATGCAGATCAGTATCTGCTCTGTGCTTTATACCCTTAGAGAGATGCATGGAGAACTGAGAATTTAAGTGACTTGCACAGGTCATGCAGTCTGTAGGCCTCACAAGGGACATGGACCCAGGTCTTCCTGACTCTGAGTCAGGTATCTCTCCACTACAACACACTGCCTGTCCATCTGTGATTTCTTAAAATGGTTACTTCTAATGATTTTTAGATTGGTGAATTCATATAAACTAAACTTTTATTTCCTTGCCTTAAGCAACACTAAATTGTGAAAATCAATATAGCTGCAATATTCAAAACTATCCTTAGAAGCTATGGGGCAAAGAAGAGTGTAGCGTAGTGGAAATCACACTGGATTTGAAGACCTGTGTTCAAACCTTGGCTTTGTCACTTACTATCTGTGTGACCTAAATTACTCTGTGTCTCAACCTCTCCATATGTAAAATAAGGAGTTTGTATTATGATAATCTCTAAGGTACTTCATAACTCTAAATCTATGAATCACACAAGCTACAAATTTTTCCAGGTGACAATTTAAGGTGATACTTGATTTATTACATTCATTTAAAAATATTTAGAATAATCAAGCATTGAGGAATACATCAACAGGAATCAACAAACTCCCAACTTGGGAATGTAACTCCACCTGATATCTTTAAGTATAAAATTAATGACAGCAACTAATGGCAATCTGTTTCTTCAAGCAGCATTCCATCGCCACCCATGGCTTGCCGGGGTCTGGAACCATCCCAAATCCCTGGCAGCTTTCACTTCTTTCTTACTGTATTTTCAGGGACCCCTCCCACACTGGCAACCTGACCAGCCACCTAGTTCTCCTCTCTTCATTATGTGGATGACCTCCTTCCCCAGGCACTGGTGCCACTTGGAACATTTTATCAACAGCAGAGATCAAGACCCAGAAGGCATACTCAGCAAATCTACAAATGACAAAACTGATATGGATCATGAATGGATTGGAGAACAGAATGAGGATTCAAAAAGATGTAGACAAGCTGGAAAGATGTGCCAAAATCAACAAGATAAAATGTATACAGGGATAAATAGAACATCATGAAATGTGGCATAAAAGTGATCAACTGAATAAATAAAAGTTTGAAGAAACCTGAAACTGATAGTAATTCAAGTGAAAAAGGTGGGGTCAGTGGAATCTTGGGCTATGCTGTATTTTGATATATACCTGTGATATTTCACTGACAAAGGGTCATGCAGATATCAATTCACTACGCCTTCTGCTAATCCTACTCCATGTCTTCCTAAAAATCCTGCACTGAACTGGATGCCTTCCTCTTTCCTATATAATTTCAGGGATACCAAAATGAGGCAGAATAGTTCAATGACAAAAGAGGTAGACTTAGAAGAGAACTGAATTCTAATCCTCCTTCTTACACATACTACTTGTATATCCATAGACAAAACACACAACTTCCCTAAGTCTCAGCTTCCTCCTCCGTAAAATGTACAATTATCCCCCTGAAACGCTTGCCTCTGGAAAGTGTTGTGAATATCAAACAAGATAATGTTATGAAAAACACTTTGCAAACCATGACAGTGATCTCTCAATGTAAGTTATTATGCTTACTCTTGAATAATCTCTCCTCTCTGGGACTTTGTGACATAACTCTCTGGCTCATCCTCCAACCTCTCTGACCACCACTGTTCAGCCTCCCCTACAGAACCACAAGGTTCCCCTGAAGACTCTGTCCTGAGGCTCCTCTTACTTGGGAAGTGATCAGAAGCCACAACTTTCTCTATCACCTCTCTGCTGAAGGTGCTCAGATCTATAGCCAGCCCGAGTATCTCTCCTACGTTACAGGATCAAATCCCCAACTGCTCATTGGATATTTCAAGTTCCATGCATTTCAAATGCATTGTGCAAAAACTGAACTCATTTTCTTCCCCCAAAATACACTCTTCTCCCTAACTTCCTTCTTTCTGGCAAGACACGCCACCGTCTTTCTAGTTGTACAGCTTTGAAATTCTGATGTCACATCCTGGAGTCCTCACTCACACGTCCCATAACCAATTGACTGTTAAATATTTTTAACCTCCACATGTCCCATCAGTCCCCTTCTCCAGAATCAGAAAACTCCACTCTAGTTCATAGCCTCATCCCTTCTCACCTGGACTCTACAGGCATTGAGAAGGCTTCCCTGTTTCAAGGCTTTGCCCACACCTGTCCATTCTCCACAGAGCTGCCAAAGAGTTTCCTTAAAAATAAATCTGACCACGTCATTTTCTGTCCAATAAACCTAATGCCTGTCTATTGCCTCAAGGATCACATATAAACTCAGTTGGGCAAGAAAAGCCCCTTACAACCTGCCTCCAGTCTACCCTTCTAGCCTCATTATCCATTACTTCCCTTCACATTCTTTATGTTATCTCATATGATACCTACAAAAATCCTCATTTAGAAAACTGAGTCTCAGAGAAGTTAACTAACTTGTCTATGGTCACAAAGCCAGTGTGCAGGATTAGAAGGCAAACTGACATTTTGAGACACCAGATCCAATGCTCTTCATCTGTAATGTACCACTGCATAAGGGAGAATAAGATCAATGATTAAAAGTTACAGACAAGTAGATTTTATCTTTATATAAAGGAGGATCTTTCTATTGATAGTTACTTAATAATGGAGAAAAGTGTTTTGCCATACAAAATAGCAAGGCTGGATCACCAGCTGTCCAGGATGCTATCAGATGAATCTCTGTGTTAGCAGAGAGGTTGGGCTATATGTATTACTTTTAGGTCCCTTTTAACTCTGATTCTAATATAACTTGGGCTAATATAATCAAGAAATGTTTTGCTTATACAACCTAAAAAGGAAAATTACCTCCTGAAACATGGTAACTCTTTTTGGATACTTCAACGCCTAATATTTGCCAAAAGGAGAGATCTTGCTTGTTACAAAAAACCTGTTAGGCCCCATGTCCAAATAACTACCATATTATACTTCAAAACTACAAGTACCCATAACCATAATGATACAATATTATTAGGAAAATGTATGCTCCCCTTCCATATCTATATCTAAACAGTCTTAGAGCATTCCTGTGCCCAGAAAATGTATCACCTAGAGATAAACTTCTCTAAATTTTGCTAGGCTGGTCCTCCAATGACATAACGCATCCCCTAATGCAAAGTTGTTCTAGTGGAGAACGATCTGCTATGGCTTATGAGTGTACTAGTATGGCCTTCAAGCACCCAGGGCCACTGCCATATGACAAAGTGCCTTGGGGCAGGGATTGAGGAACTTGTTTTTGTTTTGTTTTCATATTTTTATAGCTATATTTCAACTTAATTGGTTTACTCTGAAATCCTATTTTATTTTATTCATTTAAAAACATCATTCTATGTTTGATATGGAAAAACTGGAACACCAATGCACTGCTGGTGAGACTGTAAACTGATCCAACCATTCTGGAGAGCAATTTGGAACTATGCCCAAAGGACTATACAACTGCATACCCTATGACTCAGTAAAACCACTACTAGGTCTTTATCCCAAGGAGATCAAAGAAAAAGGAAAAGGACCCATAGGTACAAAAATACTGACAGCAGATCTTTTTGTGGTGGCAAAGAACTGAAAAGTGAGGGGCGCCCATCAACTGAGGAAATGACTAAACAAGGTATAGTATATGACTGTGATGGAATACTACTGCACTATAAGAAATGACAAGCAGAATGCTTTAGAAAAATCTGGAAAAAAAAAAGACAAAAAAAGAAAAATCCGGGAAGACTTATATGAACTAATGCAAAGTGAAGTGAGCAGAAACAGGAGGACAATGTACACAATAACATCAATATTGTACAATGATCAACCGTGAATGACTTAGCTACAATTCAGAAGGACTTATGATGAAAAAGGTCAGCTAGGTGGTGTGATAGAACCACAGGCCCAGAGTCAGGGAGACCCAAGTTCAAATATGGCCTCAGTCACTTACTAGCTGTGTGACTCTGGGCAAGCCAATTAATCCTCTTTGCCTTAGTCTCCTCATCTATAAAATGAGATGGAGAAGGAAATGGCGGGGAAGCTAGGTGGCACAGTGGATAGAGCAAAGGCCCTGGAGTCAGGAGGACCTGAGTTCAAATCCAGCCTCAGACACATAAGACTTACTAGCTGTGTGACCCTTGGCAAGTCACTTAACCCCACTGCCTAGTGGAAGGAAGGAAGGAAGGAAGGGACAGACAGAAAGAGAAGGAAATGGCAAATTAGTATCTTTGCCAAGAGAATCGTAAATGGAGTCACAAAGAATTGGCCATGACTGAAACAACTGAACAATAACAATAAAATACAATGAAAAATGATATATCCACCACAAAGAAGGAAGTGATGGAATATAAATGCAGATTGAAGAATGTTTTTTACTTTATTTTTGGAAGGGTTTTTTGGTCTGTGTTTTCTTTTGCAACATGGCTAATATGGAAATATGTTTTGCATGACTACATGTGTATAATCTATATTAAACTGCTTGTCTTCCCAAGGAGGAGAGAGGGAAAGAGAATCTGAAATTCAAAGTTCAAAAAAAAGTTTTTTAAAACTTTTACATGTAATTGAGGAAAAAAATGGAAGGAAAAAAACATTCTGAAAAATGGTCATTCAGCTTCACCATCTGCCAAAAGAGTCCATGACGTACAAAAAATTAAGAATTCCTGCAGAGTTATGGCATTTAATAGAGGAATTACCATTGAAGATTTTAGAGTTTTTTAAAAAAATATTTTCTCCTAAGTAGGATTAAAATAAAAAAGGTTATTAAAATTACAAAAATCACATGAAGCAGAATTACAATGAAAACAACATCACAATCAAAATTTTAATTTAATATCCACAAAGGTTGCAACAGTGAGGAAAGGAACATTCTTTCCCAATTAGTGCATTCTTATCTTTTATACTTACATGTGCATCTGAAGAGCCAGATGAATGTACTGTGTCTGATGATCTGGCCTGTGAACATAAGAAAATAAAGCCAATTTGAAAACAGAGAAAAAAGTTTTTGTACTCTAAACAAGGCATGCCATTTCTCTTACCTTGCTGGCACGTCTTCTCAACTAGCAGAACTGAATATAGGCAGAGCCCCTAACATACAAAATAGGCTGCATTTCAAATAAGTCATTTGTAGGAAGATTAAAACCTCTACCTGCACAGTAATTTAAAAATTCAAATATGGATTATATGCTAAATACTGACAGGATACTATGCTAGACACTAAGGATACCAAAAAGGAAAATTAAGTCCCTGACAACTTAGCTTCTAGCTGACACATGCATACAAATAATACACAAACATAATATACCATTAGAATGAGCAAAGTGTACAAAAGGAAAAACAGACATGAGAAATTAGAGGGAAGAATCTCCTTTATTTAGATAGAACAAGAAAGCTGTACCTGAGTTGTGCTTTGAAGAAAGAAAAGCATTTCAAAATCAATGAGGGATGAAATGAACAAATGTATAAAATTTTAAAAGGCAGGATAAGGTGGGGGAAGAGTATAAATACGGGAAGCAATATAAAACAAGACTTGAAAAAGTTAAGCATGGCATCAGACCACGGAGGACCCTGAAGGCTAGACTCAAGCATTTGTACATTATTCCAGTTAATACAAAGTCACTGAAGGTTGTAAAGCAAGGAGATAGAAGGTATAACATGATCAGACTTATGCATTAATATTACCATGACATTAGTGTGTGAATAGATTGTAGAGAGAAAACGTTATCTTTTAATTACTGCAAAAGACCACAATCTGCTTATCAGTACTAAACTGCTACAACAAAAACAAAAGCAATTCAATAAACAAAGAAAGAAAAAATCTCAGTACAGAATGATATAAGGGCTTTTCCTCTCTGATATCGGCAAGAGCAAAAACTAAAGAATACTGAATAAGCAGCGTAATCAGGATTCATTTTCTATTCAGTTATCGGACTTTGCAAATCTAAATTTTTTTTTTTGGCTGACCATTGTGGCAATCTCAGCATAGAAACTCAAGACTGTGAGCACCCACAGAACAGATTCTTCCCCAAGTTTCTGCACCCACAAAGTCAGAGTACAATGTTCACTCTCTCACAACAAGACTTCTTTTTTTTTTAATTTTACTTTTTATCCTGAATCCCCAGCGTAGCTCCTGGCACAGGGAAGGTACTTCCAGTTTTTCATCTTAACTGACAGCTCATCTAATTTGACCCCCAAAGGCCTTCCTAGTTCTAAAAGTCTACAAACTATTGGTTAATAACTTTAACTGGAATTTTAAATTCCATCCAAACAATTTATTTTATGTTCTCAAGTTACTGGTATTGACTGTGGTTCTAAAAATCCAATGCTCTTATTTGGAAGATAGCCAACATTTTACACTTGAACTAAGCAAGAAGAAATGGGCTTAAAATGAAGGCTTTATGTTACAGATCAGGAAACTATGGCACAAAGAAATTACGTGACTTGCCCAATGTCAAATGGTAAATAGTAGTCTTTACTTGAATCCAGTTCTTTTGACTCCAAAATATAGTCTTCCTACATACTATGATATGTATGCCTAATGATAAAGAGCTGAATCAATTTAACTGGCAACAAAAGGGTATTTAATACTCTTGAAACAAAAGAAAGTAACTTTACAAATAGACTTTAATTTCATCATTGCAGACTCCTCTGCTAAAAGGGAAAACAGATTCAGGGTTGGAGGGTAGGAGCCATCAGAGGCCATCTGATGTAACATACATATCCAAATAAATCTCATATAAGAGCCTTCGCTTGAAAAGTCACTTGTTCCTCTTCCAAAATTTCTTCAATCAAGCAATTTGCAAAGTACAGTCAATTCTACCTCGCCAATATTTTTCAAATACATGCTCTTTATTTTTCACTGTCCTTACCTTAATTCAGCTTACTGTAAGTACAACTATTTTAACAGCCTTCTACATTAGTCTTCCTGTCTCGAGTCTCTCCCCATGGTGATCTACAATTCACATTGCTGCCTACTTAACTCTCCTAACACACTGGTCTTAACAACACATTAAAAATTTTTAATTTTTTTTAAATTTTAAAGTAAAAAAATTTTAATTTTTTTAAAACTTTGGAGGTCCGTAGTTATATCTTTTCTCCCATCCCCAAGACTAATGGTCCCACTTTATCATAATCTTTTTTTCAGAATTAATTAACTTTAAATTTTTTCAGTAGTTACCAACTGCCTTTCATATAAAGAAAGCATGAACTCCTTAGTTTAGAATTTAAAGTTTTCTATAATCTGGCTCGAATCAATCTTCCTTTACAGTTTTATCACATCTTCCATTATATACTCTAAATCAGGAGTTCTTAACTTGAGGCTCATGTACCCTCAGAGTCCATTAACTTAGATGGGAAAACAATTATATCTTTATTTTCACTAATGTCTATCTGAAATTGTAACATTTCCTTTGATGATGAAGTTAGGCAACAAAGAGTCTATAGGCTTCACCAGATTTGTCAAAGGGGTCCAGAAACAAAAAAGAACCCTTGCTCTAAGTTTCACAAAATCTGGGATACTATCTCCCATTCTTACCCTCTCTTCTGTTTCAATGCCACTTTTGCTCCTATGAACCTCCACGTGCCTGGAATTTGTCCTTTGGTAAAATTCTTCCCCTTCCTTCAATACCCAACTCAGGAGCAAACACAAAGGTGATTTTTCCAAATGGGGATTCTCATCAAATCTTCAGAACTTTCCTGCGTCTTTCTTTTATATGTATTCTACATACTTTAAAAGATTCATGATTTCATCCACATGGGTATTCCCTTGACCGGTACAGACTATAACCCCTTTGTGATATAATGTTTCAAAATTGTTAGACCCAAAAAAAAATTCAATGCTGTGCAGCCAACCTGGAGATGAGACTTAGCTAGACTGATTCTTAATTACTTTAGAGCTAGGAGGTATAGCTGATAGAGCACTGGATCTGGAATGGAAAGATCTGAGTTAAAATTCAACCTCAGCCATTTGCGAGCTGGGCCAGTGGCACCCATCTCACAGGGCTGATGTGAGAATCAAATGACATAATATTTATAAAGACTTAGGAGATAAATGCTTCCTTCCTTTCCTTCTTTCCCTCCATCCCTCCCTCTTTCCTGGCATTTAATAAATGTTTGAGGAAATTAACTAGGCATGTTCACTAAAAAGAATATTGAAAGGTTGGCTTCTTTTCATAGTTTACCTTCAATCAACTTTGCTCCTCCTAAACGTGTGTCTATGTATGTATATGTCTGTCTGTCTGTCCCTGGTGTTTTCTACAACTTCCCTCTCTGCTTAACAACCATGCTTAAAAGGAAAGCTGCCATATAGGTAAGAAAATGTGTAGCTAAAATTAGCCTATGAACTGTCACCAGCACTAAAACATTCTCAGATGTCACTGACCTTACTAATTATAGCCTAAAATAAAATACCAATAAAGGGAAATGCATAAGAATTTTCAGTAATAACCTAGAGGAAAAGGTGTATTTCTCCAGTACAGATAAGAACTATCACTTGTCTCCCACCCCCTACATCCAAACTGTTGCCAAAGCCTGTCAATTTCATCTTTGCAACAGTGCTTGAATACGCCCCTTTCTTTTCTCTGACAATGCCACCACTTGAGGGTAGGCCCTCATCACCCCACTAACTGAATAAACGCTAATGGCTTCCTATTGCCTCCAGGATCAAATAACAAAGTATTCTACTTGGCATTCAAAATCCTTTATAACAGCCCACTTCTGCCTCTCAAGTCTTCTTATACCTCAGTTCTTAACACAGTCTTCCATTCAGTGATAGTGTTGTCCACAAATAACACTTCATCTCTCTCAACTCCCAAGTATTTTCTCTGGCTATCCCTCATTCCTGGAACACTCCTCCACTCAAACTACTGACCTCCCTCGCTTCCTTTAAGTCCGAACTAAAAATCACACCTTCTACAGAAAAGCTTCAGCTCCTCTTAATTCTAGTGCCTTCCCTCTGTTAATTACTTCCCATTCATCCTGTATATAGCTTGCTTTGTATATATGTTTGCATATTATCTCCTCTATTAGATTGTAAGCTCCTTAAGGTCAAGGACTATTTTTTGCCCTTTTGTTGTATCCCCAGTGCTTTAATACAGTGCCTAGCACATAGTAGGCATTAATAAGTATTTATTACTTGACTAGCACTTGTTCTGATACTTCTAGAAATAACTCTGAAACAAAGGATTATAATAAAGTGGGACCATTACGGGGGGGGGGAGAGGAATTAAAAGATATAACTATGGACCTCCAAAAGATTTTTTTAAATGACTAAGAGTTCTATCCCCACACTACATTTTCCAGCTGTTTTCCTCAGGAGACATTCCCTAGTTAACCTGAAAAATAAATAAGTACACTCACCCCATCACCAAGATTAGTTCATTCACATTTTGTTACTACCTTCTTAAAAACTTCCATTTAAAAAACATAAATAATGAAAATTTATGCTTTTATTTTTATTCTTGTTTTTATGTTTCAATGTTTGTATGTGGCTAAGTTTATAATTTTAAAAACAAGAATTTCTAAATTCAGCTTTATAATTTCCCAGATTTCCTCAGCAGTCTAAAAAATACTATATTCAAAATATGCCACGTGCAAATATAACTCAAAAAAATTAGCAAAAATTGGCATTAACTCAGAATCATAACATTTTAAAAGTGAAAGGAAACTCAGGTCATAGATTTACTGCTAGGAAGGACATATGAGGTCATTTAATCAAATCACTCACTTTATCTCAGGTTTAGTTTGTTTCTTTTTAATTTTCAAAATGTTTCATTGATGATGTACTATTCTTTTCATTTCATAACAATAATTCCCACCTCATATCATATTAACAAATCTTCCTTGTAACAAAGTAGATTCAAGCCAAACAAATTAACATACTGGCTATGTCTGAAAATGTATGCCTCATCCTGCACCCACAGCTCTGCCAAGAAGCAGGAAACATACTTTACCATCAA